CCTTATCTTTTGATTATCATTCACATTATCTCTTTGCTTTTCTTAGAGACCAACAAATCATAACGATGATTGATTCTTCCATTAGAAGAGCTTATATGTGAAGAACTTTTAATAAAAGCCCTTTCAAGACATAAAATAAGCAAACTTTCAATGTAAGAAATGAACCCAAAAAGCACAAGCCATTTTAGCTTAAGTTAAAAATAGTATCCCTTGTATTCAACCAAGTTCATGCCCTTTAAAATGATCATAAAGAGCAGATCTTTGTAATTCTTATTCCTAAACAAAACAAGTATGTATATAAGTATATATCATTGACACAATCTAAGGTATAAAAAGCTTGGGAAAATGACAGGGCTTGGATCTTCATGTGGAACATGCAAATTCCTGAGGAGAAAATGCAGTAATGAATGTGTTTTGCACTTACTTTTGCTACGATGACGCTGCAAATTACTTTGCTGCAGTGCACAAGGTGTTTGGTGCCAGCAATGTTTCAAAGCTGTTATTACACTTACCTGTACATAATCGAAGCGATGCGGTCGTACCATATCCTACGAAGCACTGGCTCGAATCCGGGACCCTGTTTTCGGATGTGTTGCTCATATCTTTTCCCTTCAACAACAGGTTCCCTCTTTAATACTCTATCACTCATAAAGTAAAATGAAAAGTCCGAGCAACGTAGTCGATACGCGTGCACGAAATCATGCTAAATACTTCACCTATTTGCAGGTTGCCAGCCTACCAGAGGAGATTGAAGTTCACATTAACCAAATGGCAAATCATGCTGTTGAGATTCCCAGCAATGGGAATCTCCTAGCAGGAAAGTACCCAGATGATGAGATGCAATTTGTTTCCATGGATGAAATTATGAACACACTCTATTTCAAGATGAACAAGCTACCACTGGCTAATCCTCAAGGATTTATAACTGGAAATCAAGATCTCCATAGTGAACTGTGTGAAGACTCAGCTCAATCTTTATTCAAATGGGAGGAAGATCAAAAATTTGTTTCCGGTTTCTACCAATTTCCTTTCGAAATAAACATCGAAGGACCCGAGTTCGAACCCCTTGTAGAGGATCCGATCCATGCATGGGAAACACGGGGTGCCTTCAAACTGGGAACAGTTAGGTTCTTTAATGTAAGAACCTTGTTTCCACATGGGAAAAGTTTTGTACCATGCATGATTCTTATGATGAATGTTTTATGTATGTTCTTATTTCAATTCCAATAGTAAACAACTTTGTGTTCTAATGTATGATGTTTACAATTTATACAAATAAGATCATGCAGATAAACTCTCCTCCTTTTCCAGCATAAACTTAACCAGATAGAAATCAGAGCAATATATGCCCTTTGAAGCATAACTTCAGGGTACCCTTGATTCATCTAGTTACGCATTCTTACCCTATGTTACTCAAACTGAATATAATTTTCAGATACGAGTATATATCCTTAATGTGTATACATTCCTACAGATATCCAAATATAGTTCCAATGCAGTTTAAGAACTGATTGCCAAATGAGGAAAACAGGACAACTTGTTGAGGATTAATGTTGTTAAGAAGTAGACCAAACTTACAAGGAATTCAAGGTAAAACAAAAAATGAACTTTCACTCAGAGTTTGGATGCTCCTGCATGGACTACATCATGCTGCCATAAAGCTTTGGGCAGATAGTATGGCAGCTTGGGACTGAGTCCAGTAAGATCAGGGTTCGTTCATGGGCTTGTATATTGGACAAAGAAACTTTAAATTTGGCAAAGTTAAGAGGAAAACGAATGCTAAAATAATTAGGGATTTGAGAATGGAAGCTAATTAATTAAGGAAATATGTTGTTTTTACAAAGCAGGCAAAGTCATCGGCAACTGAAATCGAATTTGAGAAGTAAGCAGTAGCTGTCAGCGACTTTGCTCCTTCTTTGCATTTTTAGAACCAAACTGAAAGGAAGTTAAAAATATATAGACTAAAATGAAATTTTATAAAAAATTGGCTACAAACGGTAATTTTAAGAAAGATAGCCAAAAAATAATTTAGTTAAGTCGATTTCCAAAAAATTCTTATTTAGTCCTTATACTTTCATTTTTATATTTTGGTTTAAAAATTATAACAAAGTTTGTCCACAACTGCCGACGATTATTTTCAAAGTAATCCTCTATTGATGATTTTTTCAAAGAGGACCGACTTTGCTCAATTTTTCTTTTTCTTTTTCTTAATTTTTAAGGCCAGTATTTGTATATGTTTAAGTCGACAATTAAGTTACATTTTGTAGGAATATTATTTACTAATCATCTACGAATACATTTTAGTACATAGGTTAACAATAAAGTAACTTAATTTTGTAATTTATAGATACTCACATAGCTTAATTTGAATAGTTTAAAGGAATAAATGAATTCTTATATTTATAGATTAAAAATAAATCAATCAAATTAGGTTATCAAAATGGAACAAAACTTAAGTTTTGTGATGATTTCGAGAAAAAACAAATAGTTAGGTGATCAAAACGGAACCATAAGAATATTATATGACTAATATATAATTTACCTAGTGTTTTGGCATTTCCATACAAAAAGTATACTTTAGGGGCTATGGTGCATTTAACCCTTTATTTAATAAAATCTTACTACTCGTATTCCATTCCCATTCAAAAAGATCAAATCCCTAACCTGCCTCGCGTACCTCTATTCGTTTTCTCTACACCAATACAAAGCCACAACCCTCCAAGCAGCGCAGCTCGTCGGCGTTCGTAAACGGAGATAGAAACCGGTTGTCTGGGTTCTCCTTCAACGTTCTTAGAGCTCGTTTCAACTCCGATTCTTTCTCAGGTCAGGTATTGTTGAATTTTTGCTTTTTTTATTTCCATAATCATGTTCGATTTATGTGGGAAAAGCTAGGTCTATTTTTTTTTTTGGTCTTTTGAACTTGGATCAATGATTTTGGATCTTCTCTCTTCTCCCAGCCGTGGTTTTATCTATTCTCCATTCTATTTCAGTTACACTGTAAAATGTATATAGCCTTTTCTCTGTGTAAAATGTAATTGTGGAACCTACTGAATAATGAGTTTTGGCATCAAAAATTGCATGAATATGTATATTCATTGAAATGAATGATTTAGAAATATGATCAATTTTAAATTCAAAACCTGTGTTTAAATAAGCAATAGCTAAACATGTAGGGTGATTCAGTAATATTGTTAATTATATCGGTTGAATTAAAGCTTCCATGGGATCCACTTGCAATTACATGGTATGATGTTTGTCTGAATTCTCTCTTATATACACTACCGAATGGTTATTACAAAATGCAGCGCAAAGATGTCTAGCACTAAGAGAATAGTCCGAGCATGGAATGGAAGTGTTGTGGAATCCAATTGCATGGAGGAGGTGAGTAATTTTTTTAATATTTGTATTTTATAGTACTTATCAACTGATTTCTTGGTTTCTTGAAGTTCTCTGCTGGTGTCTCCCGCTATGCTAATGCAATGGATGTTATGGGTGTTTCATTTCAGAAGTTTTATATTGAATTAGCTGAAGTTGAGTCACGCGCAGTCTCTGCTAAGAAGCGTCCTCGTTCTTTGGAGGGGCGTCTTCGTTCTCTGGAGGAAAGTCTTTGTTCTTTGGAGACGCTTCTTCGATCCGCGGATGAGCTTTATCGTTCTTTTGAGGAGCGTCTTCGTTCCACAGAGGAGTGTCTTCGTTCCACAGAGGAGCTTGCTCGTTCCACAGTGGAGCTTGCTCGTTCTGCGGAGGAGCGTGCTCGTTCTGCGGAGGAACGTGCTCGTTCTGCGGAGGAGCATGCTCGTTCTGCGGAGGAGCTTGTTAAAACAATTGATTCAGAGCTTCTTCAGGTGCAGGCAAAAGTCGGAAAGGCAACACTTTTTTTAATGCGAGAGCCCAAGTAATTTAAAAATGAACGGAGAGAGGGAGCGACGATAGGTGTTTATATTGTTGATATTATTACTGGTGGATTGCTTACTTTTAATATTGTTTGTGGATTGTTTATTTTTTATACTGTTTGGGGATTGCTTAACGTTGATACTGTTGGTGAGTAGATGAAAAATTAAGAGCAATATCTCATTTTTTTCCCACTTAACTCAAGCATGATTATGAACCTCTCTCTTGTTTCACTTCACTCCGTCACTAATTGCAATGCATTCTTTATTTTTGTTAGGTAAGCACGTAACTCTTTCTTTACATAAATTATCGTAAACTCAATAATTCTATATAAATATAATCATAGATGATTTAGATTGAAACTTTATACATTAATATTATATTTTTCAATTTTCATGAAAATTAATAAATTTATTTTAATCTTAATCATCTATTTTGATTCATTTAGAATCAAAGCCCTAAACACATAGGGAGGGGTGTGTATTTAATCGAGTCGAGTTGATTGAGTTGATGAATCATGTTTTATAATTCAAACTTTATTTTGCATTTTTGAGGTGTTTACCTTCATCGAAACTACAGATTTACAGTGTCCATTGAGGTAACGTTTCATCTTTATCGGTGGGAATAAAAGAGAGAAAGAGAGAACTTTTTTTTAAGCAAAAATAGAGAGGTTAAAATGAGGAAGGAATAGCCAATTTCGAGTTTAGGTTATCAAGTCGAGTCATTCTAAATTCTATTGTAAATATTTATTTGCATTTGATAGCCGCTAGACTGAAAATTCTCGGAAAAGAAGATTTAAGAGAAATGAATTATGTCCAACAATCCGAACAGAAATCAATATTATTCTCATTACCCATAATACACCTCAAATCAGCATGAAAAGCAGACTCCGAAGACCCAGATGAGTTCACAATATTTCGCCACACCCATGAAGACTTTTTAACATTAACAGCTGAAGGAATAATAGCATTCTGATCATATTTATACTTAGCAATCACAACTTTCCTCCATAAACTATCACTTTCAACACTAAACCTCCAAATCCATTTATTAAGAAATGATCGGTTCCTGATTTGAACATCAAAAGCCCAGCCCCCGTAAGATTTTGGTTTACAAATATTATCCCACTTAATCCAATGAATACTCCTATCAGATTTAGCATTCCAAACGAAATTCGCTATAAGACTGTTAATCTTATCAACAATTGACTTGGGCGTAGAAAAAATAGAATGTAATATACATGCAAATTAACTAGGACAGATTTAATGAGGGTTAACCTCCCACCAAAAGAAAGCAATTTACCTTTCCAACTTTGGAGCCGACTTTTGACTTTATCCAAAATGGGTTGCCATAGAGACTTAGAGTTCTTGGGATGACCTACGGCAATCCCAAGTACAACGCGGAAGTTCTGCCCACCCACAATGAATCAGATCAGCCCCCTCCTTACATTAATATTATATTTTTCAATTTTCATGAAAATAATAAATTTATTTAATCTTAATCATCTATTTTGATTCATTCAGAATCAAAGCCCTAAACACACATCGGGAGGGGTGTGTATTTAATCGAGTCGAGTTGATTGAGTTGATGAATCATGTTTTATAATTCAAACTTTATTTGCATTTTTGAGATGTTTACCTTCATCGAAACTACAGATTTACAGTGGCCATTGAGGTAACGTTTCATCTTTATCGGTGGGAATAAAAGAGAGAAAGAGAGAACTTTTTTTTTAAGCAAAAATAGAGAGGTTAAAATGAGGAAGGAATAGCCAATTTCGAGTTTAGGTTATCAAGTCGAGTCATTCTAAATTCTATTGTAAATATTTATAGTATTATGATATCAACTGATTCTAATTAATGTTTGGGCTTAAGAAAGTAGCTAACTAATAATTAGGAGAAGGTAGATCGAATGAGACGTTATTAAGCTTCAATATGATAGAGGTAGAGCCCAATGAATTATGATGTTTACATCGACGTATCCATTAGCTCATTTAATTGGTCTAAATAAAAAATTTATTTTAAAAAATGAACAAAGAGAGAGAGAGTCACACTAAGGGTTTATATTGAAATTTTAAGAGTGGGTCAAAGCCCAATGAATTATGATGTTATATAAAAGTAGCCATTAACTCATTTAATTGAGCTAAAATAGAAGTTTTGAAAACTCAAATTTTTTAACCCAAATTCATTTTTACCCAACCCAAAAAGGAAATTTATTATCTTAATTTTTTGATTAAGTTAAACTCAAAATAATAGATAAAAATAACATTATCACAATAATTACATGAAGTAATCAAACTATTTTTCTAGATAATTTATATATTTTTATTAACCGATGTGATATTACATTTTTAAGGTAAATGTTTATATTTGATCCTATCCTTAATCACTCGAACAATTAATAGATCTTAATAATGAAATTTATCATTTTTAATCATTAAACTACTACAAACTTAAGGGAACTTGAAATTTTATCACATACCCAGTCCAATATACCAAAATAATCACAAAATTCTTCCAAGTCTCCTGTTTCAACTAACGTTTGAAACCCCAAAAATAAATACGTGAAAACCTAAAGTACAATAGCATAACGTATACCCACCTTTCAAATTTCGAGTTCGAATCTTATTACAAAAGAAAATTTTATACGACTCGATCTTAGATATAATCAAAATCTCATATGATTATCGAACATATGTATACAAAGTTTAATTTAGCAAAATAACCTTAAAACGACAATCGTTTCTGCATTCAAACACAATATTTTTTTCTGGAGTCATAATTAAAATGAAAGCTTCAAAGTCAGGTGGCTGGAAGAACCTATTCCTCGACGGCTGCCTCTTCATGTAAACCACTTGTTTCAGTTTTGGTGTTGGCGGACACGACGGCATCCGCCACCTCGGAGTCATGTAGCCTTCTTCTTATTCATAAATCTCCATGAAAACAAAGCTTTTCATTTGAAGGTATTTTGTAAGAGAGATTAGGTGGGTGTTGGCTTCCCTTCCTATGGAAGATGAAGATTTCAAACGTACAGTGCAAGGAACTAAGAAACTAAAAAATTATATGTGGCCATATAATGCTGATAGAGTGAAAGGTGACGTTTTGGTTGGATTATTTTCAAGTTTTAATTTCATCATTAGCCCCTATATTCTTTAAACTCTTGAAATTCAATCCTTTTACTTGTTTGATTTAAAATTAAAGTTTGGATAATTTGCTTAACATTTTTTTAAAAATTATATTAGCTATTTACAAATTATTATTATTGAAAAATATTTTTGGAATTATTTTTAATATCGTCAAATACTAATCTATTTATAAATGCAAGTAAGTTTGGACAAAATTTTAGGCATATAATTTGAGTCTAATTGGACTTGGACAACATGAAATATATTAATACCACATATAACCTATGAACACTTCTAGGCTAGAAAGACTAAATCATTAAATTAAAAGAGAAAGTACTAAAATTTAAAAGTATAGAGAGTGAATGGACTAGGCGTAGAATTAGAGTTAGTTTTAAGTAAAGTGGTCCTCCGATGACTTGAAAAGTGGAGAACTTTCAATTTTGGAAATTGGAATTGAGATTATTGCTACTTTCTTGACTACATTAGGTAGGCCATGATTTGATTGAAATAATTCTTAATATTTTATTTGTCGATGATTTAATTTAAATTAAATATTGTAAAATTTTATTATAAAAATAAAGTTTATTTTATTTTTTAAGGAATAAAATATATATTTTGTTATTAGGCTAAAGTAAGTATTCTAATAATTTATAAAATTTTATTTAATAAAATAAATGTAGTAAATTATTTATTCATTAGTCTTGTATTAAGTGGTGTTTTTAGATGTTTTATTTAATAATTATATAAAAGATAAATATCTTTTTGGTATAATTATTCTATTGATCAGTTAATCCGGATCGAATACTGCAGAGGCAAGGACGACCCTCTCAACTCAATTTGTTCCATTCACAAACGTCATAATTCGGACACCTGATATTGTTTAAGGGATCTAATGCCTCATCTCACTAGATCAACTTATTGTTGGTATAAAAAGATACTATGATGATATTAATTATTATTTAAATAATGATATTTTATAATTAAATTAATGTATGATTTACTCGAATATCAATTCAACCAAAACATAATATTATATTTTATGTTTAATTTAAAATTCAAAAAATTTCTGATAAATTATTTTTATATGTAACTTGAGCATGCTGATGCCTCGCAAATAGCAAAGAAATTCAATAATAAATAATTTGAAAAAAGAAATTTTTTAAATAATAATATAATAAAAATGTCTAATTTAGAACTTAATTAATTGCAGTGGGCCAGTAGGTTCTGTTGTTTATGGCCCATATATCTTAGTCATATTGAGACAAAATCAGCCCAATAATCCAAGCAGGTAAATTATTTAGCTCAATAGGGTTACTCGGAAATTATTTGGAATTTACAGCATTTATTACAATGCAAGTGAAACTCATCATATCGGCGTGACATGTTCCATACAATTTTGTTCCATATCATATGATTAGTTTTAATTTTTAATATATTTTATAAAACTTATCACGCCGACGTGATAATTATCACGTACACTGTAATAAATATCATAGATTTCAAATAATACGCTTAGATTATTGAGCTGATTTTACCCATATATGACTGCCCAAAAAAACAAAAAACATGCGTTGAACGTGGATCGAACACATAATCTCTAAATATTCAGTCTGAAGCTCTCACAACTGAGCTATTGCCGGTGTCATTTTAGTTGCTGAATATTAAAATATAAAACCTAAAAAAATGATGCTTTTCAGTTCTTCATTCGGTTCCAGAAGACCCCTTCTCCCCTCTCAACTCTCACTCACCGTTTCAGTCCAATAGAAACCCTAAATCAAAAAGCATGCCATTCATTTCGAAAATTCAGAGGCAAACGGATTACAATCGATTCCCTTCTTCCACTCCCGTCGTCATCGACAATGGCGCTTCCTATTTTCGAATTGGGTACTTTACTTTAACCTTTCTCTATAAATCCCCTAACTCTTCGTCTTTTACCCATTAGAAAA